CCCCAGGAACACGCCAGGCTGGGGCAGCTGGAGCCCCAGAGAGCAGTGTCCTTCCTGATGCTCCCTGACACTCCTGTCTTCCTTTCCCAGGATCCCCATTATTTTAGTGGGAAACAAGTCAGACCTGCAGGTGGGAAGCTCCATGGATGTCATCCTGCCCATCATGAACCAGTTCTCAGAGATAGAGACCTGTGTGGAGGTGAGGGGACATGGAGGGGGTCTGCAGACCTCCCTGAGGGGCATGAGGCAGGGAATCCCTGCTGCCTGTGGGGGTCTGTCCTGCTCACGTGGCTCTGGCTGGGTCCAGTGGATGTACAACTTGCCTGGAGCTGGTTTCACCCTCCTGCTGCCCCTTGGCACCAGCCTGTCCCCACTCCCAGGGCTGTCTCTTCTTTCCAATCCCCAGTGCTCTGCCAAGAACCTCAAGAACATCTCAGAGCTTTTCTACTACGCCCAGAAGGCTGTGCTGCACCCCACTGCCCCCCTGTATGACCCAGAGGAGAAGCAGGTGGGACACATGGCTGGTGGCCCCTGAGGGGTCTCCTTCCCACTGGGGTCTCTGGTCTGGGGCTGTGCTTTTGTCCCTGAGGGGGAGGGGGGGAAGTTTGGGGTGAGGCAGCCAAGGCAAGGAAAAACCACAGGATTATTCTGGTGTAAAAAGACCTGTAAGATCATCAAATCCAACCATCAACCCAACTCTGCCCAGCCCAGTGTCCCTCAGCACCACATCTGCAGGGCTTGGAAGCCCCTCCAGGGATGGGGATTGAACCCCCTCCCTGGGCAGCCTGGGCCAGGGGTTAATGACCCTTCATGGAAGAAGTTGCTCCCAAGACCCCATCTCAGCCTCCCCTGGTGCAACTTGAGGCCGGTTCCTCTTGTCCCATCCCTTGTTCCTGGGGAGCAGAGCCCAACCCCCCTGGCTCCAACCTCCTCTCAGCAGCTGCAGAGCCAGCAGGTCTCCCCTCAGCTCCTTGTCTCCAGGCTGGACACCCCCAGCTCCCTCAGCTGCTCCTGCTCACACTTGTGCTCCAGCCCCTTCCCCAGCTCCCTTGCCCTTCCCTGGACACGCTCCAGCCCCTCCATGTCCTTCTTGTCCTGAGGGGCCCAGAACTGACCCCAGGATTTGAGGTGCAGCCTCCCCAGTGCCCAGCACAGGGGGACAATCCCTGCCCTGCTCCTTCTGGCCACCCCAGAGCTGACACCAGCCATGCCCAGGCTGGAGAGATCTGCAGGAGCATGTTGAGCAGAAGCCCTGGTGCTCCAGACCCTGCGTTCGCCGCGGTGGGAGGGATCCAGGAGAAACCTTCTCCATGGGCTGTCCTGCTTCTGACCCCCAGCTCCGAGGTGGCTGTGCTGGGAATGTGCAGCCAGGGAGGGAACCCCTCTGCTCGTGGGGGTCTGAGGAGGAGGAAGGGCCAGGCTGGAGGTGATTCCCTGGTTTTGTCACCATGGTTGGTCCTTGCAGCTGAAACCCGCGTGTGCGCGAGCGCTGACCCGGATCTTCAACCTCTCAGACCAGGATAACAACCAGATCCTTAGTGATGATGAACTCAACTACTTTCAGGTAGGACTGGCTGTGGAGCTTCTGGAAAGCCCCTTGGGGTCCCCTTTTCCTTCCAGTACCAGGCAGAAAGGTTGTCCCTCTCCTGTCACAGCTGTCCTTGTTTGCATCCAGTGCTTCTGCTGTTGCAGGAGCCAAAGCTCCGTAGGGTGCATCTGGGAGCACATGGAGATCCACAGGTTTCCCATTTTCCCTAAGTTTGGGAGTTTGCCATGGGAAGAGCAGAAGGCTCTGGATGTGTTGAGAGCCAAACATGATTGGGATGCTGAGGAGCAGGGGTTTGGTCAGGGTCTAAGGCAGGAAAAGCCCTGAGCTGGGTGGGTTTCCTCTCCCTGGGACACCAGCTCCTCGCTGGGGGAGGGGGCTGGGCTCTCTGCATGCCTTGCTGACCTTGACCTCCTTTCTGTTGGGAGCCAGAAGTCCTGCTTTGGAAACCCCCTGGCTCCCCAGGCCCTGGAGGATGTGAAGATGGTTGTGTGGAAGAACACCACAGATGGGGTGCAGGACAACGGCCTGACCTTGAACGGTAACAGCTCCAGGCACCTTCCCAACCAGGGGGGCCCATCTCCCCACACTGAGGGGGCCCTGCCCCCTGGCTCATTCCAGGCCACATTAGTCCCTCTTGTCAAAGCAGGCCTGAGCCTGCTGGGACTCCTGGACTCTGTGTCCAGCAGCCTGTTTTGCCAGGATAAGGGTGATCCTGAAGAGTGGATCCAAGGCTGAGAGCTGGGCTGGCCTCACTGTGGCCTGAGCTCTCACAGAGTCACAGAGTGGTGGGGGTTGGAAGGGAGCTCTGGAGATCCCCCAGCCTAACCCCTGCCGGAGCAGGGTCACCTCCAGCAGATCCCACAGGAACACTCCAGCTGGGTTTGGAATGTCTGCAGAGAAGGAGCCTCCCCAGCCTCTCTGGGCAGCCTGTCCCAGGGCTCTGC